AGCTAGACGCCTTGCTTATTTGCGCACTCTACCGCTTGAAGGCACATTTTCACCGCCAACGCCGACACGTGGCGTACAATCGCAGCGACCTAGTGTTGCTGCGGACACCAACTAGAAAACGCGGTTTGAGCGAGAAACTGCTAGCGCACTATGCGGGACCTTATCTTGTTGTAGACCATATCAGTGATTTAGTTTACCGCATAGCACGTCTCCATTCAAACGGCCGACGGTCTGCAAAAACTTAACTTGTCCATGTTGCACGTTTGAAGAGCTTTATTCTTCGAGAGACTGTTTGAATCGCCCAGTGGGCTTCGTCTGCACGGAGGGAAATGTTACCACATGTGTAATTTAGGTATGTGCACCAATGTAGCGGGGAACATGGTGGTGGCAGAAGAAGAGGACGTTCGATTGGTGGCAAGAGCTCGCTGCCGCGCGTTCACTGCTGTATACCGTCGAGTCGACCGTTACATCGCCTCTGAATAAACCCCTCTCATAGACGTAACAATATAAAACCTGGTGTTACCTACACTAGTTCAAATGTTATCTGTGTTCATACTGTCACAAACGGTACATTGGTGAAACAGGACAGCCTATTAATGTCAGACGGTCATCGCACGAACATGGCAAATAAATTATCGAAGGCAGTGGCATAGCATTCTAATGTAGCAGGGCACAACTTCGATGATCTCAAACTTTACATACTTCCGTCAAACTTCCAATCTGCAAAAGACAGCAAAGATACAGTCATACTTTATTCACAAGTTCAATACAGTCCAGCCCGACTATATCGAACCCGTTCATATCAAATTATCCCGTATATCAAACAATTCCTAAACACGGTAGATTTACATTGAGAATATATAGCAAAAGTTACAGTTTTATCGAACGAAAATAGCAACGACAACTGATATATCAAACTCCATGTGCCTCAAAAGTGCCCCAGCAAGTTGGCTTTCCCTCGCGGTGGCGGGGAAAACTGCCGGCGCCACCCTAGAAAAAGTTGATTAGACCCGGTTGTGCACGGGCGAACACCCCCCCTCCAAGAAATGATCCTGGCCCGCTCGGAGCGCTTACAGCCAATCAGAGGCCATCGTGCTTTCTCCGAGGTGCGGAGGCGGTAGAAGTGAGCGCCATTTTTTCTTTCTTTATGCTAGTGTGCCTGCTGCTGCCGATTGAGCGTGGTCTGTGGTATTGCCTGTTGGTTCTCTATGAGCTGTATTGGTGCGCTGTCATCAGGGCTTGCGCAAAGAGGCAAAATTTGCTGTTCGCCGCGAAACTCGAAATCATGAATTGGGTTGAGCGCAGTAAAAAGAAGTCCGACGTCGCCGCCGCGTACAAAATTCCAAGGAGCACCTTGAGTACTATCCTGAAGAACAAGGCAGACATCAGGGCCAAGTCGGACAAAAGGCCAGGTGCCCGTGGCGCCCGACGTGTGCGCGCTGCTGTGTACGAAGATGTTGAAGCGGTCGTTTACAAGTGGTTTGAGGACGTTCGGTCGTGAAACATCCCAGTGTCCGGCCCTATGATTGAGCAGAAAGCCAAGGACCTTGCTTTTCTGCTTGGCAGAAATGATTTCCAAGGCGGTTTAGGCTGAATTCTGCGGTTCAAAGAACGGCACTGCATCGTTGGCAAAGCTGTTACAGGTGAAAGCTGAGCGGCAGACCTGAACAGCGTAGAAAAATGGCTCGAGGAAAACTGGCGAGATATCGCAGAAACATATAGAGCCCAAGATATATTCAATGCGGAGGAAACCGCTCTATTTTGGCAAATGTTGCCAAACAAGACACTTGCGTGTCGTGGTGACAAGACAAGCGGAGGCAAGGCAAACAAAGCTCATGTGTCCGTGCTGTTGGCAGCTAATTTAGATAGATTGAAAAAGCTTCGACCTCTGGTTATTGGGAAAAGCACGGCACCGCGGTGTTTTCAAAATGCGATGTCGCTTCCAGTTACTTACCGAGCAAACTCAGAAGCATGGATGACCGGGGAGCTTTTCAGCAGATGGCTATCGTCGTGAAATGATGATTTGGTAGGCAAAAATCGCAAGGTGTGCCTGCTCGTGGACAATTGTTCATCGCACCACTGCAGTACGACCTTCAGCAACATCGAGTTGAGTTTTTTGCTCCCGAACACTACGTCTGTACTGCAACCACTGGATCAAGGCGTTATACGCACGATGAAAGCCGGCTATCAGCAGCGCCTGGTGGAGAGGCTGCTGCAGAACCTTCGTATCGGCCAGGGAGCTTAAGATCGATTTGCTCGGAGCTATTTCTATGTTGAGTAGATCGTGGGCAGATGTCAAGAAGGAGACGATCCAGAACTGCTTTAGGCATGCCGGCTATCGCATGCCTGGTGATGACACCCCAAATTCTGACAGCACTCAAGACACCGCAGGTGTTTCTGGCGAAGTTTAGAACAAGCTGGCAGAGTTCTCGGGTGCTATCAACGGATCGACATTCAACGAGTTTATCAGTGCGGACGATGACGTCCCCATCATGGGCCAATTACAGGATAAGGATTACATTGAGACGTCGTGCCGACCACGAGCCAAGGCGACAGCAATATGAAAATTGATGACTAGCCCATTGCCTACACTCTCCGAAGTGATTAGTGCACTTGCGTTGGTCCGGCGCTATTGCTTGAATGTGGAAGGTTGCGGCCTCAGCTGCTCCGACTCGTTGGACAACGTGGAGGCGTGCGTGCTGTCGCAGGCAGCGAAGTCGTTGACACAGAAAAAAATCCGGGACTATTTTGTTCCACACTACGGCACGCAAGTAAGCCACCATATTTATAAAGTACTTTTCTTCTAGTTTGTTATGTGCCCTTGTGTCAAAACCTATACCTGGCCTATATCGAATTATGCCATATATCGAACTAATAAACCTTTTTTGGCAAGTTCGATATACCCAGGTTCGACTGTACACTCCAGCCAGCAGGTATAAATGTTGCTAGAGGCGTTCTCAAATCCATTCGATATGGCACATACACAAAAAAGAGCAATGAGATTTCAGCCCTCCCAGGAGTTTTGAACCTATTAAGTGAAGTAGCAAACGTTTTGAGGCTATAGTCGGTGCATTCTTTCAAAGAGGGAACCGTAGTTCAGCGAAATGCTTGCCCTTGCACCTCCCCCTGCTTTTGCCTTTTCTTGTATTTCACTGAATGCCACTTCCCTTTCCACTCACATAATACGTCAGGGTGCTCTCTCCCCTCTTCCTTTGTTAGGGTGGAGGAGCATAGATACACTAGCGCTAAGTAAATGAGTTCCAGCCTTGAAGAAGACGCATCCACTTGTGAAAGCATCAGCTCAAGCACACAATCTCTGTGTACCTTTTTCAAACCTAAAGTGTTGCTATTGAAGTACTATTTTGACAAACAGACTGCAGGCTCTTCAGAATTCGTAAAAATAACAATAATAAAATAAATAACTAAATAAACTGCTTCTAATAGATCTGCTCAGGTTTCCGTTAAGGGGACTTAAGTGCCATCGCAGTGCCTTTCGTCGATAGAGTTCGAAAAAAGGAAAAGCGTCAATGAATAGAAAAATGACAATGAAGCGATAATGTGCTTCTCACAAAGACATACCCACCAGCATAGACACCTCAAGATCTGCGAGATTTGTAAAGCAGGAAGGTGAAAGGCACCACAAAAGAAAACTGGCTGCACATTTTTGTTTATTGTTTCTCAGGGCCGGGCCAGTGTTATTAATAGCTCTGAATGATTGCCAGTAAAGTTCTGGAATGGCAGTGATCCTACTGAGAGTCATAATTATTGGGTGCGCGCACGTGCGTATAATTACTGCATGAACTGCACCCGGTCTCACTACAACCCCTTTCTATTCTCAGTATGCTTAATTACACCGCATCAATGTGCCACGGCAAAAGTGATTCAAGGAGCTTGTTGCCTTCGATTGACCCGAGCCGATATAACTTTACAAACCCTTTCCCTTGTTTTGATTATTTTTAATATTATTATTATTTTATTTCACAGCAAGGCTAGGTCCGTTTTTTGGCAGATTCATGGCCATGCCCATTTAGCCTGGAGAACCGCCTGAAATTTGGAAGTCTCCTACAAACATCGGGAAAGTTGGCAGGTATGCCTTTGGTGCCTGGCTTCTGGGCATACAGCCATGAAATACAAGAGGAATCCATAAAGCTCGTGTTATCGACATCAAATGAATGTTGCGAAAGCGATGAAATAAAATTTGTGTGGAAGTTAATATTTCCTCTACATAACCTCCTCCCAAAGTCATGCACTGCTTCCAACAATGCATGAGCATGTCGCAGAACCTTGCAGCACAACAAAAAACTTTGTAAAAGTTCAGAAAGAACTCCACTAGAGAGTTTACTTCTTTGTTGTCCCAAAAAAAGATTTCTAATGCAGTGAGCTTCTCAAACGAGGACAGAGGAAGAGGTCTCTTCATGCGAGGTCAGGAGAATATGGGGAGTGAGACAAAATGTCATAGCCACAGGCGGCTTCACCATCACCTGTGCTGAGTGATGGACATTTGGGTGCCCATAAGTGCTACCACTTTCGTTTTGGTATCCAAGTGGAATTGTGCAGTATCATAGAGAAGTTTTACATTTCACTAAAACTAGATAATTGCAGACTAATTTTGATGACTATCGTGCATGCTTTTTATCAATCAGTCAGACTGACAATACAAACTTCATGATTGCCCCTCGTAGCTCTTGGATTGTACAATGGGTCTTTGGCTGCCTTTATGATTGTATAGCGGCACAGACATATTCCTGCACTTTAAACAATGATGGTGCGATTGATTATACAGTAGACTTGTACCCTTACCCCCAATGTGTACACACCCAATGATGCCTTTCACAATGTCAGCAGTCAAGAAAGAATGGCATGTTGCATGAGCTTTTTCTTTCTCTTCAAAGTTTGGATTGCATTGAGATATCAAGGCCTTTCAAGCATATTCCATGCATCATGGTTTCAATTCTGGAAAGTGGTTGTAGTGCAAGGCATAAGAAACATGCGGTGAATACGTACGGGTCTCTCTCATCCAAGCATAGTTGGTGACCTCGGAAGGATTGGGCAGGTACTGGACAACGGCATCGAGCACGGGCTGTACACCTTTGTTGCGCAGTGCAGTGCCCAGCAGCACGGGGAAGAACTTGCGCTGTATGCAAGCACGACGAATGCCCGCCTGGCGCAAGGAAGGAAAGTTTCAGATTAGCATTTCTGCAATAAGTGATCACGGCTAATAGGTAATTGCTTTCAGCACCTTTTCTTCTTTTCACCCTAAGTAGCTGTAAGCAATAGGATGGAAAGGTGGGCTAGTTGGTAATTCATAATGGTTCAGCGAACTGGGAGCGTGGGGGTAAACACAGACACAAAGCAAAAAGGAGGCACACAGCACGAGCGCTCAACTAGCAGTTGCTAGTTGCAGTAAAATGCATGACAACATGACTATAGCATGCAAAAAGTAGTGCTGAATGACTAAAGCATTTCTTCACTGCAACTGGAATCGTAGGAAAATAACAGACGGCACAGCAAGTATCTAGTGCACTGCTTAAAAGGACACTAAAGGCAAGTAAGTCGCTAAATCAATGAATTGGCACTCTGGAAACTTTGTAGTGCTTGCCTTGTGCCAAGAAAATGCTTAGTTTGAAAGAAAATCATGTTACAGTAGTTTGCAAGCCATTTGGAACTTGTCGACTGCACAAGTTGCATTTTGTTCCGACCTATAATGCACTACTCAATTATGTTGACATTCTAGATTCTCTCAAGCTTCTCATTTCGAAATAAAATGCCTTCAGTGTGCCTTTGAACATCAACTGATATTTCTGTAGTTAGGCTGACTATGATGAATTTTTCTGTCTTATAGCACATTTGTTGTCTCTTCCGGACTGCATAAGCACACTGTTCATCATGAGAAAGAATCAATGAGAAAAGCCAAGTTTGCAAATTGGAACAAGTTGGTAACTGAAACACACGTAACATGTGCCGCAACTTGGCTCCATGTAAGGCTGATTTGATGGGGATTCAAGTGTGCAATGCACAATCAAGCAGCTAAATGTATGTGTAATTAAAGCACAGCCAATTAGCCTACAGGTCTCTGGTTATTTAGACAAAACTAGCGTATATACTTGCATAATAGGCACAACACCAGCTTGGTCATGGGAAATCAGATGTTTTCAATTCTGTGCTTAATCGGCACACCTGAACTTGGCCGTGACCAGCAGTTCTGTACTGAATTTGTAGGGTTGCGATTTGACACCTTCTTACGTTCTGAAGAGAGAAACAGGAAAAGAAAAATTAAAAAGACCGCTGCAGCCCTACGACAGCTTCGCGGGCTCACTGAGTGAGGAAGGAGGGAGGTTGTTTCGGTATCAATCAGAGTAACCTTTGCAACGGCGCTGGTGTGGCTCCAGCCGTTAGCCCAGCCGCGCGCATGCCCCGCATAGAATGTGTGATCGCGTCCTCGTCTAGTGCGCATAGTTTCCTGTTTGGAAAAGCGTCATCGTTATCACATTTGATACCTTTTCCCCAAATTTAAAAATTCTTCAGCTTACGGACTCGACCATTCGCCTTTGCTGCCACTAGGCGAACTTACGCAAGCTCACGGTGAACTTTTGTCATCATTGCTTTCTTGTCACGAACCTAAACATCGTATCACGTGCGTTGCTCTTGGATCAGTGCTTGTGTGTAATCTTTTTGATGCCCAATCTTCATTTTATTGTCTTGTACAAACTTTACACGGCAAGATGTTGAATCGTAGGCAAGTCCTAATCACTGTCTGTGCTTTTTGGTGGCGGTCGCGGGCGATGAAAGTTGCGGTTTTGTGTGGAATCAACGTAACTCTTTTTGGTGGCTCTACTTAAAGAAAAGACGGCTTAGGCGATGCTTAAACACTTGAATTTTGGTTCACAATTCAATTGCAATTTTGGTTCACAATTCAATTGCAATGTCTTAGATATGGGGTGTGAGCCTGTGAAATTCGACGATTGGTACCATTCTGCATACAAAATTTCGGTCGTGATAATGCGCATAATCAAGGGGGCCTGAAATGTAATCGACGATCTAATAAAATGTAATTCCGCGATGGTGCTTTTTTTCCGTAGTTTTTCTTTTATGAGCGCAGCTCCTCTTAGTCTAACCTTGTTTCGCGTCAGGCGTAATCGGAAGTATCTCCCAAACAGTATGATAGATGGGGCTGTCTCATAGAGGTACATCCAAACTGCAGTTGAGTGAGGATATTCTAGATGATGCTGCACCACTACTCTTCGATTGGCTTCTGCGCAAGCTGTGCCTGGGTGTGTGGGGAACGATTGCCTCTCTCAGTCTCCTGGATTGTCACCGTACATGTCGGATTGTTGGTGGGGTATGGACGAAGCACAGCAGTGGACTGGGAGGGCCGCTGCGGCTCGTACTCGTCGCCAGACAGACAAACAGACAGACGCACGCATGGGCGGACTGATGCACGGACAGACGGACGCACACACAGACAGGTAAATGCACGCACGGACAACGAAGCTTGCACTGACAGGCGGACGAACGCTACGCCCCACTCATCATCATTCACTCCATTAATATACTGTGATTCTTTTTCGTGTTCATTTCGTTGGCAAAGCGGGTCTATTGACCAATGTTCATTTTTGTAATATTGAATGCACACTGCATCAAATACCTTGATTCTCAAACGCGTGAGACTGCACGATCAACACGTTTTGCGCTAGTGTAGCCTATGAAGAAGGTTATTTCAGTTGTAGTGCGGATATTCATAACTTCAACAACGTACGTTATGAGTGGTCTAGGCTGAAGTCAGAAATAAAATTTTTGCAAATTTTACCCCGCATAATAGGCACGCCCCGAACTTGGAGCCGGATTCCCTGGGGAAAAAAGTGTGCCTATTAAGCGAGTAAATACAGTAGTTTGTCAAAAGTTGATCGGGTATTTATTTGAAGCAAAAAGGCAGAGATCCTTACCACACACACTTATTTTACTATACTTATGTAACTTGGCCACTACACGTATAATCAATGTCTAGTTGAAACCATGCCCAAATGTCTGGGAACCATCCAGATTATTATTTCAGAATCCTCGCATAAGCTAGGGCACGCAAACAGGAAAACTTAGTTCATTCCGTAAATAACGAGGCTACTAGCGAAAAGGCTCGAATGTTCAATGCTGCATTTATAAATGCAGACGCTCTTTACTGTGCAAGTCAGATTAACCTACGGCCGACGCTCTGTTCGTCCCTATCATGTACAGCTTGTGTTGCTTGTAACATGACTTTTCACTTTCCGGACACAAGTTCACCCTATAAAGAGTTTCGTCTTAGAGCTGCCGATTACTGCCTTCTTCAGTCACGACCATGTGACAATATTAGCGGAAAATGTTTCATTTGTTTTTCTTTTTAATTTTTATTTTGAACGTAAAGCTCGACACTTCCAGGCATTTGTCATTTGTCAATTTTGGGTGACCTGTTATTTTGGAAGAAATTTTTTTCAAGCTCTCCCCATTAAGCCTTTTCATTGTTTTGCACACAACATAATCATAGTTTATATAAGAAAAGAACTATGCAACGCAACAACTGTCTGCATCTCGCAATGTGACAAGGTGACAGTGTTAAAACGGTGATTCCACGTCTGCTTCTTTTGTGGCCAACCGAAACTTCAGTTGTGGTGCTTCAGCATTTAAAACTCTTCCCAAGACACTTTCTAAGAATTCATGGCAAGAGTCTCGTCCTGTATACTGGTGCCTTCAGGTAGAATGGATGGGATTACTGGGCAGTCACAGCTTGTAAAAAGATCACGTGCTACCTAATGCCAAGGAGCACACACCGCCAAGGCTACAAACGGCAATGAATAACACTCCCAGGTTTAGTACGTGCACAGATAAAACACAATAATGGGTTTGGGAGGACGACTGCCACCGTAGCTCAATTGGCATGCGTCATTTGTAGTTTGGAGGCTCAGTCCCTGCCGGTATCAAGTTGTTTTTTGTACAATTGAATTTACCCAAACTGATATCATGGCTACCACAAACGAACTTAATTTTATCATTATTCCCTGTGTTCTTTTTTCCAGGCTTGATTATGTATCGCTTCTGATTCTTGCTAAAGGTCAAATGTGGCCGCAACCCACTTCGTTCGTACAATCCTCTAGCAAGCAAAGTGTGAAGCACCACAAACACAGGATATAAAAGAGAGAAAACCGAGTTGGCGGAACCAAGCAGTGCAGTTGCTATTGCTGCTATCATCATCAGTGAAAACCACACCGTTAAGACCAGAGAGATGGAACACGTCATGACCGTTTGCATTTACCCCCAAATGTGAAACTGCAAGAGACACGGTTGCTCAGGAAGGCATGGTTGCTATTCACAACGGGCATCCAAGGTTTCAGTGGCTGTGGCAAGCATCTTTTGTTTTCATTTCTGTGATCATGTCATTAGCGACCCTGATTTCAATGCAGACAAAACTGTGGCATGAAATGAATGTCAGAACAGTCCATTCGAAGTGTGTAACATTACTCTTAACAACCAACTGAACTAATCTAATTCAAACTTGTGTTTAATGCTGCTCTTGATAACCAAGAGAATGTCTACCTACCATTAGTTGCTCTTCTGAGGGTGTCTTCTCTTCTAAGTACATTTCCCCAAGCAGCTCATCCGCATTGGAAACATGTTCTGCATGAAAGTCAAGTCATATTCTAAAACATCATGGCCCAAGATGTAGTCAAATCCCACTGCAACGAAAAATTTCATTCAAGGAATTCAGTTGCAGTGAAATCTCATCCTAGACCACATAATTTGGCATGATCTGGTGATTATAACTTGTCTTTGAGTACCAACAAGTGCAAGCATTGAACTCTCGCCAACTCAAACATACTTGGCTGCACACACAGTGAACGTATTTTCTCGCACATAACATACACAAAATATACATAAAATTTGGAGCTAAACTAGGGGTATGATTTATACATAAATTTTGGTGCACAAGTTGGCTTTGCACCCTCCTTCACGGTGACGCACAGATGCCAACACTGCGTCAATACACGAGTGTCTTATTTTTTTTTTTTCTTCTGTGGTATATAGTCAAAAGTGCCGGTTACATGCAGGGGCGGCTCATACATGAGCAATTACTTTCTGAGCGTGCTGAGGGTTCCAAGGTATCGCTAGAGGCCAACAGAACTAAGTGCCGATGCTCCGCACTACCATAGCCCTAAGCGAACGACAGAAAAGCCGTAACATGTCGTGCTACTTTACGGCTTCATTGCCTTTATTATTCTGCCGTGTTAGCTGCATACCTTCCAAGCGTATTTACTATCGATGATCGCGACAACAGTGACCACGGTTTCACGAGATGTACATCAGACTCTGCCCAGGTAGCGCTGCGAAAAACACCCTCACTAGCACTTTCGTCGCCGCCCTGGTCATAACTGGGTACTGCAAAAAGAGCCGTCCGCAAGCAAATGTGCCTAGGCCGTTATAGAACCCCCTTCTTTTTTTTGTGTTGAGACACGGTTTCCTGAAAATTAAGCACCTGAAAAGCTTCTTCTGCCGCTCCGCCCTCGCTTATGAAAAGTAGAGAGCTCATGAAAGTAAACTGCGCATATAATGCAAAAGATGTTTCAGTTCTTTCGGCATGCTGCAACTTGCAATTTAAGTGCTAGCGAGCATCACATGACACGAGTTCCAGGCAAGCACTGTGGCGTGCATTCTGTAACACCTAAATGCATTAAATTTGGACATACACATAATTTCAAAGCGATGAAGTACATACACGAGCAATTTATCTTACAATCAGTGGTACGAAGCTCACTTCATCAAGCAAGAATGGCCTTTGTGATTTTCACCTTTGCAGGTGCTTTCTCCATCCATTTCTGGTTTTCTGCTGGTTGAACTATTTTATCACGCATCCTTGAATGCTCTGTTGGCAGTTGTTTTCCGTTTGTATATATTGCAAATGAGAATACCTGCGTATCCACTTCCTTAGGGTACATCAACGAAAGCCCAAAGCGAAGCCTCCAAGATAGCTCTGGCAATCATGGAGACTGTGGGTAAGAAAAACCTGATGGCAGTCACAACAAACACTTTCTGATTTGCTAGAATGATACGCGTGTTAACATTTGCTAGTTAATGCAGAGACTTTGAGCCTTCAAAGTGTACGTGCGCGATGCTGTGCGGTGACGACCAGTTCAAATTACGGGTGGTCGCAGAGAGTGCAATGTTCATCACGCGTCTCGCTGCAGTCAGAGGCTCTGCTAAGCTTAGTTCACAACTATCATCATTGCTCATGTCACTGCTGTTCATGGCACTGCTGTAACACCTTCGGGCAATGCGAGGTAATCTTTGAATAAAGAAAAAAAAAAGGGAATAAAGTTAAATCATGCTAACATTTGAAGATACGTGTCCTGCTTTTTTTTTTTTAACCAAGAAGAATAGCATTTTCACAGGCTTTTTTTTTTTTCAATTTTTTAAATATATTTTGCAGGTTAGTTGCAAATTAGTGTGATAATCATCACAAATATGCCCATTTTCCTATATATCATGTGACATATAGTACTATTTGAATTCGATTTGAAATCATTTGACCAAATGACTATTCACTTTGAATTCACTTCTAACCTAAACTTAAAATTCACTATTCGCACCAGCCTACAAAGTAAAGCTTTCAAGTTGTTGACAGGCAAGTATTCATTCTATCAACAAATCAGCATTTTGAGCAGTTGCCATGTAGTGGCATCACTCTAGTTGAATGGTGCAAATAGAAAAGAAGCACCCACTCCTGAATGCTAGAAAATTCAAAATAGCACTTTGACAATTTTGCAGGCTCTCCCAAATTGCTTCGGTTTCATTCAATAGGATGATATTCCAACTGACGTATGTCATAAGGGGAGACATTGGTGTTAAAATAAAATGGTTTCGGAAATGCTACCGAATACATTTACTTGAGCAGGTGATTTGAATGCTCACTGTTATCTCAGAAACCGATCAATGAAGTAGACAGCGACAATTCTATTTTTGCAGACCATATGAATAGTCTTCTACAGAACCGTATGTGCATGCGCTGGCAGTACTGACTGTATTTTTTTCTTAGCACGCAATTTTAGCTGTCTTGACATGGCATTTTCTTCACAATATAGTTTTGAATGCGCAGTATTTCTTTGAAGCGCTCAAATTGTGAACAAATATGCTTTGACTGTTTCTATCTATCGATCATCTAACCGCCTACGTACGCCTGAGTGCTGTAGTTGTCTTCTGCTTAACCTGGTATAATCTAAAGTTACTGAATGAGTACGTGAGTTTATGACGAACTCGAGCGGAAGGTCATGAAAAGTATTTCTTTATTTATTTACTTATTTCAATACCCTAAAGGCCCTGTTGGACGTTACATAGGGGAGGGGGGGATTGATTGATTGATATGTGGGGTTTAACGTTTCAAAACCACCATATGATGATGAGAGACGCCATAGTGGAGGGCTCCGGAAATTTCGACCACCTGGGGTTCTTTAACGTGCACCCAAATCTGAGCACACAGGCCTACAACATTTCCGCCTCCATCGGAAATGCAGCCGCTGCAGCCAGGATTCGAACCCGCGACCTGCGGGTCAGCAGCCGAGTACCTAAGCCACTAGACCACTGCGGCGGGGCGGGAAGGGGGGGGATTTGCATGGGTAGATATATTTCGAACAACGTAAACAGAAAAAGAACTAGAACTTAACAAAAAGAAAACAGCGAGATAATTGAACCACATCATTCACTAACAAACACATTTACCAATTTGAAAAAAAAAAAAACATGAGAACACTCATGAAAATTGCATATAGTGACATTGCAAGGGTATTGCGAACAAAGACTGTAAATAAAACGAGGACAACCAGGCACAAATCGAAATGTTACTCCCTATGCAAATAGCCCTGGAGCATCGAGTGAAATAGGGAAGGATTTGTTGTTTAAGCAATGCGAGGTGGAAGGGAGTTCAACTTGTTTATGTATAATGATAATGGTGAATATCGAAACTTCTTCGTCCTGGTAAAAATGGAGGCCACCTTGTGCACGTGATCAAGGCGGTTTGAGATATCAGGGGCGGAAAATATATTGGACTGGGCGAAGAGTGAGTTGCTGTGCTAAAGAGAGTGAAAGAACGATAGTCGAGTATGTCACTTGCGCATGGCAAGCGTTGCATGACTAAGCTCTGCTTTTAGTAAAAAACACTTGCGTAACGCGAGTAGGATGATGAGATGAACTGAGCAGCTTTATTTTGTACCATATCGAGCATGTTAGTAAGACCTATAAAGTGAGGATGCCATATAACTGAAGCGTGTTCTAGAGATGGCCAAATTAACGTTGTGAAAGCGTGCACTCTTGTGTCTTTATCGGTGAAATACAAGCGTCTCTCAAGAGGGGACGCGGGTTTCAGAACAATAAAAAAAGCCCAAAATATCGATCTCTTGCAAAACTTATTTTCGAGGTGTATGTACCTCTGAGCACCAACTCTCATATTACTAACACGAAATTCAGTCAGGAAATGCAATAAAATGAGCATTCAAAGCACCCGGGCAGCAGTAAAATGCCCCCCAAAGAAGGAAATTTGTTCGAACTTTGTGCGAGCCTCATGAGCGTTGCGGCAGGCCGAGCGCCGCCATCTTAAGCTAGATTTGAAGCTATTTTTATAGTGACTGGAAAGGTTTTCCAGTGTCGCGAACAAGTCAGCGAGGCTGAAAGAGTTTGCGATACAGCCTCCAGAGGGCCCAGCCGCTCCCTGGCACGCGTGACAAGTTCCTCGCGTTGAAACCAAGTATTGTGGTTGCAGTACAAGCACGTTTTGTTTGGCCACACGGCACCCATAAATTGTAAACGAGGAAAAAAGAAGACTGAGGACTATGCAAGCTGGTTAGCGCCTTCAGGAGGCCACGTACTGGCGGCATATAGTATAGCGCGCACAGAACTTAGATGTATAATATTCAGGTGTCCAGTTCCAGTTCGATAACACTATTTTTCACTCATTCATGTTTGAGTACCATAATAAGAATACTCACGGACCATTATAGTGCTTACATTATGAACTTGAGGTATAATAAACAGTGAAAAAGATGCAAAGACGGACATTTTGGGGCTGACTTTGAGTAAACAGTGCAAGGAAAGGAAGCACACATATTGAATCGAACAAAAATGGTTAATTAGAAGTGTAAAGAAGCAGTGAAATGAAATTTATGTACACATAAACCTCTTTTGATGATTTGTGCCTGCTCTTGCGGTTATACTGGCACTGCAAGAACTCTGAATAGGGAGATACTTTTTCTTCGCATGACTTCCTTTGCTTATAATGACACAAAACACATTCTCTCTTTTTTTTCACGCATGGTGCTTGGAGTGGTTACAAAGATTTTCAGTTGCACGCGAGCATAGTGCAAACTTCTTCAGCAGAGGTGTCTACAGCTGAAAAATATTTAGGCTACTTCCCAAAAGCTGTCTATGGCATTGGTGTACTCTGAAACTATCTTATAAGTCTGGATTTACTCCATTAAGACAGAACAAAATAGAAAAACTGCATGCAAAATGGCACCTACCAATGAGCTCGTGTCGTCGCTCTTCCATTTCTGTCCGCATGTCGGCAGGCGGATCCTCATAGCACACCTCCTCCCTGCAAAATTTCAAATGCATTTCCCAAGTAGTTTAGAGGCTTGGCCCTATTTGGCCTTGCGGTGTCCATATCTCGGTGGCACTTTGCGTACCTAGCACATGAGAACCAGCAGAAAACAACTCAGCTGAATATAATTTTAATAACACTGGGTCGAATTCAGCTAAGCTGCATTCTGCCCCTTCTCTGGTGCTAAGTCATTCTATAATATTTTTGCTATCACTCATAGCAACACATGAAATGCCACACAATGGCACTTCACACTTCCTTGCCACAAGGATTTTATTTGTTAAGAAACAAGAGTGCTGGTCATATGAACCAAGCCATTACTGCCATTTTTGTCAGGCTGTAAAATGTAAACTGGTAACCAAGGCTGTCGCAAAATTAAACCTAGCGAATATAATTTGCCACCCTTACACCCACAAGCATTGTTCCAGCTTCCTGGACCACCTCAAAAAGGCAGGTGTTTCTCAGCATATTCTCATGTGTGTGGCCGAAGGTGTACTACAAAAGGCAGCCGCGAGGATGAACAGTCCGCTTCACTAGAAATGAAGTGACTGAAACAGAAGTGCACAGGAGTACCATGAATTCATGATGCCTCACACAGGCTGAAAAATACTGGCAATAATACAAAAGTAAGGGTCACCTTTTCAGCACCAAACAAGCTGTCTAATCTGTGCAAGGCAGGCTACTACTGTGCAAGGCTAGCTACTGTTAAGTGTGAGAACAACATCATATATGAGCTTCCCTTATCTTGTGGCAAAAAATAGATTGGAAAAAGAAGAAGGTGCGCGAACGACAGGCTGAGTGAGCATGTACAGACTGAAAGTGCGACTCATCTCATTCTTCACTCCGGGAACCGGGGGTGTGTCCCGATATAGACGAAGCTCAGTGCAGACAATACTAGAAATTATCGTATCAAGGTGGCAAAGACTGCTAGCCTGGCGGTCATGTGTGTTAGCATGTATCAAATGAGGTGTCCAAAAAAAAAAAAAAACATTTTTTTCAAGTGTGATACCAAGAGTGACTTGGCGATAACTTTTTTAATTATATTTTTTCGGTATGTCCAAGTCATCTTGTAAATATTATTTTAACTGCACTTTTATGTTAACTTTGGCTTCATAATGTTGCGGTACAGAGAACAAGGAAGCTCGCTCAGACTAGAGGAAGACGATGTCGCTTATCGCTGCTTGGGCAACAGCTACAATTGTTGTACATACACAAACTCTGCACTCGTGTGCCTGCTTTCTTTGTGCAACATTTTGGTTTAGGTGCTGGCCACCAGTATGGAACTTCACAGCGGGCATCATCTGCCTGTCGCCACCATGGCAAACGAAACACCAACATCTCAGCCAGCAACGATGGCAAACCAACCGTCAATGTTCGTGCTAGCGGTCTTCATGACCCATTCGCAGGACCACATTTTGTGGCACGCACGAGATTGACGTCGAGGAATAGCTAAAGCAGTGTGATAAGAGTGAGTGACAGCTAACTACTGCTGGAACTCGGCCCTCATGCTAGCGAACCTGCTCTTCTACCTCAAGGGTACTGCCCGGCAATAGTATGAGACGCATGAAGCTGACCTCACGAGTTGAAATGTCTGTAACAGAAAATGTGAGATCTGTTTGGCAAACTGGTCGGTTGTCAGCTGGTCACAAAGAAAGAACTTGCAAACCGCACTCGAACGTAAATAGAGTCCTATGTCGACTACATACAAGATTTGCTGTCTCTCTGCCATAAAGCTGAGGACAGCATGACTGAGGCTTACAAGATCGGGCACATGATGAAAGGTCCTGCCAATGATCCCTTCAACCTCCTTATGTGCAAAGATTATGCTATAGTCGATGAAATCATCACAGTGTCGGCCCTTCGAATAGGCAAAAGGCAGTGGAGTTGCTCAAGAGTACGACAGACTGCCAGATACCGCCATGTCATGCGAAGACCCACCACGGCTCGTCCAACCCACAGCTCCTAAATACATCATGAACCTTATCCTGCGCGAGCTTGAGGCTACGTCTCCACCTTCACCTTTTCGTTCTGACTTCACGGACAACATGCACTCCATCTCCCTCATTCAAGCTATCGTTTGGAAAGAAATCACAAGCTTTGGAATGCTGTCCCTCTGCTCGGCCCGGCAAACGAACGCTTACAAGGTTCCCTTGGCCACTCGCAGCCAGACACAAAATTTTATCCACCCTGCCACAATCCAGCCAAGTGGCCCACCGCGGATGATCCACCCATCTGCTTCAATTGTTCTCATATTGGACACATTTCTCGTCACCGCCACAGCTGCTTTTCACCCCTTTCTCAGTGGTTGTCTCCTAGCCACAACCACCAGCCGCAGGACAGTCATACCTTCTCACCCTACACACCAATCCAGAGCATCAACTTCGACAATGTCCCACCAAGATCTAGCTGCTCCCCGTCACCACAAGGTCGTCAGACACGTTCACCTCTTACGCATTGCTCTTCGTCCCCATCCACAACCAGCTGCTTTAATTAAGAGAACAAGGTGACACAGCTCTCAGAGATGGCAATGCAACTATGACCCGTCCTTCAAAACCTTGATCGACCCTGCTGTAGGACCGCGGTAAGAATTCGTAGTGCGGCAATTTTTGTGTGCTTTTATTTGCTTTGCGGCGTAAGCTTGGGACGGCATGTCAGCCGCGGGCAGCCAGCGTTGCTTGGGCGACAAGCGGTCGAAGCGCGACTAACCGGTTTTGCCGCGAGCGCAGACACGCGGCGCCAGCATATTACACTGCTTTGTTCAACGCCAGAGACGGTCGAGCGTTTCCAGTTACTACTAACTCAAGAAAAAGGGAACCAACCGGGGCAACGAAAGGGGTGAGATTATAAACGAAGGTGTGACTGACGGCCCCCTAATTGCCTCTCGGAACGGGCAGTCAGCGCATCAACGGGCCTTTTCCGAGACCCCGCGCACCGCGGTGACTCCTCGCATCGGTTCGGCGTATGGCCCGGCCACGTACTGTTTGCGCGCCTGCAAAATCGGCGGCGCGCGTTGCGAAAACTCTGAAGTCACCAACGACCTTTTCTGCCGGTCCGGCTTTGGTCCAGTGACTCTCAGAAGCGGGCTCACGACACGGGAAATGGTGACGGCCGCCCGTTCGACGCCTGGGTTGCCTATTATTGAATCGGGCATGTCTTTGACTGCGTCCCCGTTTATCTGGACAAAGGAACTCGTAAGCAGAAACATGCGCGGTCAGCGAGCGGTTCCTCGTACGGTGCACAGAGGCAAGAGGATTATAGCCCTGTCGTCAAGAAATTGACGTGGTAGAGGGAAATCGCCCTACGGCTGCAATACCGAGTACGGCTAGCTCTGTATAGATAATTGTGCGCCGCGAAGCTGGCCCTGGCCTTTATGCTTTTTCTAGTTTTGTTTTATTTACGTTTTGGTTGTTGTGTTGTTTGGGGAGAGTGCATGAGTCCCACGTGCACGAAGGCGGGATCCTCGTGGCGTTTTTTTTAATCTACCCAATGTACTGTCCAATCAAAGGACAAGCAAGTGATTATGTGCCGAAAGTGTGGTAAGGGCGGAGCGCCAGGAAGGGATAAGAAGAGGCCCCGTGGCTCCGCCGAGTGTTCTGAACCGAGCTTGCGGTGTTAGGCACCATCGGCTCCGCCGAACCGTAGGGTCGCCCTACAGAAGTCGGTTCATTTCCAAGTTGTTGTTTTTTCTTTTTTTTGTAACATTGATGTCCATTGTGTTGTAAAATCTGTAAATACAAGTTTTTCTCAGCCATCCAGAACTTCTTCAGCGTTGCTTCTGCTTCATCGTCAAGCGACCAGCACGCCAATAGCCGCTATTAGGATAGCGGCGTACGTTTCTTCTCCCATTATGCTACACCATCGCGGGTGGTGAGCCTCGGGCGCCGAGCGGGGAGAAGTGGTTTCTTCTACATCGAGAAGAGAGAACCTGATTTTACTGGCGCAGTCGACAGGATTGGCTTGCTGTGGACGGAGTGGAAAAAGGAAGAAGCTGGCTGAGAGGAAAGACGAAGTACAGATGAAGACGCCAATCAGCACCAGACCAACGGACAGACACTGCAGCAAGTAGCTGCGGCAGCAGGAAGCTGCAGATAGCCTGGTGTTCCCGGAAGACACCGAGGGAGTGACTGGGTCAAAGCGGTCCTCGAACGAGTTCTCAACACCCAAAAGGCGCGTCCACGACGAGGTGGGGCATCGACCAGAAGCCTGCAGCAGCAAGCCAGAGCGACGCCACGACAACGGGACCGAGCTAACGTGAGTTCCCTTTCTCATTGCTGTATTGTTGTTGCGGGGCAAACAGGCTAGCACCACATTCAGCAGGATGGAGGGTGGCGATGGGGCGAGTGAGGATGGGAGTGGTGACATCCCTTGGACGGCACGAGACCAAGCAGATCATAATTTTAAGATGGCTCGGAAACGAAGCCGGCAAATGGAGTTGGAGTTAGAGCTCGCTAAATTACGTCCGGCAAGCCCATCAGGTAGCGTGAGTGATGCTGGCGGAACATTTGAGCGCTGCTCCAACACTGAGTGGCGCAAATACGCCAAATTGTTAGTGGGCGCTTTGCCAAAATTTCCCGCAGACGCGGAGGTCCCAATTTGGTTCGAGTCAGTGGAGCACACTCTGGAGGCATATGAGGTACCTCGAAGTTATTGGGGACAAATAGTCTTTCCACTCGTGGCTGAGCGCATAGAGTATTTATCAACTCTGCTCACACCCGCCCAACATCGGGACTATGAGACCGTAAAGGAAGTAGTGCTTGATGAACTGACGCTGTCTCCCTTAGAATACCAAAAGAAATTCACAGGGGCACGTAAGCGAAAAACAGAGACGTGGAAAAGTTTTACAACAAGGTTGGGCAGCTACTTAAATTTTTATGTGGCTTCAAGAGACGTGTCCACCTTCGCGGAGCTTTTGGAACTACTGGTAGTGGACCAATTGAAAACCGTGTTGTCTGAAGAGGCATTAAAATACTTGAGGTTACGTGAGGGGGCAGCAT